TGTGGATAAGAAAAAATTCAGAAATAGGGAAGCGCTCTGTGCCACTCCTATCTCTTTCTTCTTTTCCCTCTGAGTGATAGTAAGATGATGGCTGATGTTATAGAACGAAGTCAGAGTCTTGGGAGCATCTGGACTCCTTGCTAAATTTCTCCCTGATGGGCCGGGCGTGGTGGCTCACACCTGTAATCCCAGCACTTTCGGAGGCCGAGGCAGGTGAATCATGAGGTCAGGAGTTCGAGACCAGCCTGGCAACATGGAGAAACCCTGTCTCTACTAAAAATATAAAAAATTAGCTGGGCATAGTGGCGGGTACCTGTAATCCTGGCTACTCGGGAGGCTGAGGCAGGAGAATTGTTTGAACCTGGGAGGTGGAGGTTGCAGTGAACAGAGATTGCGCCACTGCATTCCAGCCCAGGTGACAGTGCAAGACTCCATCCCCCCAAAAAAAAAATTGTCCCTGATAGGTTGGGCAAGGTGGTTCACACTTGTAATCCCAACACTTTGGGAGGCCAGGGCAGGAGGATCACTTGAGGCCAGGAGTTCAAAGCCAGCCTGGTCAACATAGTGAGACCTCATCTCTACAAAAGAAAAATTTTTAAATTAGTTGGGTGTCATGGTGTGCACCTGTGGTTCTAGCTATTGAGGAGGCTGAGGCAGGAGGATTGCTTGACTCTAGGAGTTCAAGGCTGCAATGAGCCATGATTACACCACTGCACTCCAGCCTGGGATGAGAGCAAGACTATGTCTCAAACTAATAAACAAACAAAATTATCCTTGATGCATGGCTACCTTCCTATAGTTTGGTTCCGTAACATACCTCAGTATTTTTCTTTTTCTTTTTTTTTTTTTGAGACAGAGTCTCGCTCTGTCACCTAGGCTGGAGTGCAATGGCGTGATCTTGGCTCACTGCAACCTCCGCCTCCTGGGTTCAAGCAATTCTCCTGCCTCAGCCTCCCCAGTAGCTGGGATTACAGGCATGCACCACCATGCCCGGCTAATCTTTGTATTATAAGTAGAGACGCAGTTTCACCATGTTGGCCAGGCTGGTCTTGAACTCCTGACCCTGTAATCCATCCACCTCAGCCTCTCAAAGTGTTCACAGGCATGAGCCACCGCACCCGGCCAGAGTATGTTTCTAATAAAATCCCATTTTTCTTCTAAGGTAGTCTGATTTTATTTTTGGTTTCTTACAAAAAGAATCTTGAATAATACAGAGTGCCACTGATTTCCTGAGCAGAATAAAAAGATAAGAAAGAAATAATCAATTATCCAGGATAATGCCTGAGTCAAAGGCAATACCATAAAATACTGATGAAAACCTTCTTACAAATCTATCCTTTAAGAATTTCAAGCATGCTATAAGGCTAAATATTTTTTCTTTCTTTCTTTTCTTTCTCTCTTTTTTTTTTTTTTTTTTGGACAAGGTCTCTCTCTGTCACCAGGCTGGAGTACAGTGGCGTGATCATGGCTCAATGCATCCTCAAACTTCCAGGCTCAGGCAATCTCCCACCTCAGCCTCCCGAGTAGCTGGGACTACAGATGTGCACCACCACATCTGGCTAATTTTTGTATTTTTTTTTGTAGAGTTGAGCTTTCGCAATGTTGCCTAGGCTGGTCTTGAACTACTGAGCTCCAGTGATATCCCTGTCTTGGCCTCACAAAGTGCTAGGATTACAGGTGTGAGCCACTGCATAATATATGTTATATATAATATATAATATATATTATTATATATTATCTAATACATGTTATATAACACATGTTATATAAATGTTTTCTTTTTTTTTTTTTTTTTTTTGGTATTTTTTAGTAGAGACGGGGTTTCACCGTGTTAGCCAGGATGGTCTCGATCTCCTGACCTCGTGATCCGCCCGCCTCGGCCTCCCAAAGTGCTGGGATTACAGGCTTGAGCCACCGCACCCGGCCTATATAAATGTTTTCTAACTTTATGTCTTCCACAGAGAAATGGAAATTTCAAAGACTACTATAAAAGTCATACCCTATATTTGTGTTACTGTCTAGGATGCAGGTTGCAACTATAAAAGTCATAGCCTATGTTTGTGTGACTGTCTAGCAAACAGGTTGCCAAATTTCAAAAATACTATTGATTTAAAAAAAAAAAACAATAAATTAAATGTTTCAAGTCAATTTTTAGTTTTACAAGATTTGTAAGAGAAAAGCTCTGTATGATTTCAGTTGAAACGGTGCATGGAGCTTCTATATGGCCCAGTCAGTCAGCAGCCTTCAAGAACGTGATTTGTGACTTTCCTTTTCCCTAAAGACTTCAGTCTGGCCACAGACTAAGCATCTGCCAGAAAATCTAGGCTACACCAAGTACTACAGAAACTATGACTATCTTTTTATCTGTAACATTGTTCTACAGCTAAATATTAAAAAGTTTTAAATGTTCTGCTATTGCAATCAAGGTCCCAATTTTTATCATCAATAGAAATTGGACAGTAAATTTCAAAAATGAGGAAAGTCTTTCTTTTTTTTTTTTTTGAGATGGAGTTTCATTCTTGTTGCCCAGGCTGGAGTGTAATGGTGTGATCTCAGCTCACCACAACCTCTGCCTCCCGGGTTCAAGCAATTTTCCTGCCTCAGTCTTCTGAGTAGCTGGGATTACAGACATGTGCCACCATGCCTGGCTAATTTTGTATTTTTAGTAGAGACGGGGTTTTTCCATGTTGGTCAGTTTGGTCTTGAACTCCTGACCTCAGGTGATCCGCCCACCTTGGCCTCCCAAAGTGCTGGGATTACAGACGTGAGCCACCACACCTGGCCTGGAAAGTATTTCTATATGAAGCAAGGTCACAGTGAACATTAATAGTTATATAGAAAAAACAGAGATGACAGTAAAATAGATGATTTGAAATAAGACTATGAACTATAACTTACCGACTACTTCATCATCTGGTTGAAAGAATGATACCTTGCTTCCAACTAAAGAGTGAAGGAAATTAACAGTTAATATTACAAATTTATTAAATGTAATTCTTAACTATTAAAATACATTTTTAAAGTCTGTGGATTTGTAAAAAGACTGATTTTATTTTACTTAGAAAAAAGGCCAAAAATTTCAGTAACATTTTGATGGTCTATAAGGACTACAGGATATACACTTCAAATCTGGATTCTCTAGATATTTGGACCATGCGATTGTTGAGACCAGGAGAAGTACGTCTTTCTTTGCCTATTTAGCTGACCTTTTTTTTTTTTTTGAGACGGAGTTCTGCTCTTGTCACTGAGGCTGGAATGTGGTGGCGCAATCTCGGCTCACTGCAACCGCTGCCTCCCAGGTTCAAGTGATTCTTGTGCCCCAGCCTCCCGAGTAGCTGGGACTACTGGCATGCACCATCATGCCTGGCTAATTTTGTATTTTTAGTAGAGACAGGGTTTCATCATCTTGGCCAGGCTGGTCTTGAACTCCTGACCTCAAGTGATCCACCTGCCTTGGCCTCCCAAAGTGCTGGGATTACAGGTGTAAGCCACTGTGCCTGGCCTCTATTTAGCTGACTTTAAGGAAGAAGGAGTAAAGAAAAATAATCTATAGCTTCTATGATAATTATATTGTTTTCTACTCCTTCTGTGGCTAGCCCAATCTATCTTTACTTTTGTTGCCGAATCTCATACAACAAGGAATTCTGAGAATGTAGCAGGACAAGCCGCAGACAAAACCCCTCAGACACCAAGTTAAAGAAGGAAGGGCTTTATTCGGCTGGGAGCTTTGGCAAGACTCATGTCTCTAAAAACCAAGCTCCCCGAGTGAGCAAGTCCTGTCCCTTTTAAGGGCTTACAACTCTAAAGGGGTCCGCGTGAGAGGGTCGTGATCGATTGAGCAAGCAGGGGATATGGGACTGGGGGCTGCGTGCACCGGTAATCAGAATGGAACAGAACAGGACAGGGATCTTCACAACGCATTTCCATACAATGTCTGGAATCTATAGATAACATAACCGGTTAGGTCAGGGGTGGATCTTTAACCAGGCCCAGGGTGTGGCACTGGGCTGTCTGCCTGTGGATTTCACTTCTGCCTTTTAGTTTTTACTTCTTCTTTCTTTGGAGGCAGAAATTGGGCATAAGACAACATGAGGGGTGGTCTCCTCCCTTAAGAGTGACATTAAAATGATTTTGATTTGGGAAATAAATTCAGGTTGATACCAAGAAGTTTTCTGCAACTTTATGGAAATGATATAGTTACATTTTCTCTGCATATGTAGAAAAAAAGCCTTGACTATCAGTCAATTCATTTGAGTGGTTTCATTCAAAGAGTTACAAGAGGAAAAGGGAGGAAAAAAACCCAAATATTATTGAATGCCTCCTTGTGCCCAGCATTGTTGTGTATTTATACATTTAAACTTCACAATATACCAATAAGGTAGGTATTATTACTTCTATTTAACAGAAAAGGAACTGAGGTGAAGCAGTGAAGTAAGATGGAAACCTGAATCTGGAAATGGTCCCTTCGACTGGCTCTGTCAACAAAATGGCCCCAGAAGGCATTTGTTGCCACTAGCAAGTAATTTGAAGCCTGGTATTTCTACTTTCAAGCCCTCCTTTTGGAGTTTGCTCCTTCTTTGGCTCCCTTCTGTGCCATCATCCCCCAATCCTTTTGGCTTCTGATTCACTGTACTTTTCTCTTTCCCTTCTACTGCTGATCCCTGTCCTCCTAAGGTCACTCTGACTCTTTTTTTCTTGCTGTCCTTGATACTCCTCTTCTTTTAACTGACCCTCAAACAGTGCATTCCAAAGGGTTCTTTGTTTACATCTCTCATCCTTTTCCACTCTCTCTCGGAGAATTCATCAACTCTATTATTTCAAATACAACCTACATGCTGACATTTCTCAAATATATACTTTCCAGCATAGATCTCTCACCCTTGAGCTTTAAACTCATTTAATTGCTTACTAGATATTGCCAGTGAGACGTCACTTAAGTACCTTGACTCAGGAAGTATAAATCTGAACTCATAATATTCCTCCTAATTGGATCATCTTCCTTTTTTTTTTGATTTAATAAAGTTTTATTTTTCCAAATGTACAGTTGGTTGGACCTATTCATGCATCTTCACCAGCAGCTGGAGCATCTCCGCCCTTGGTATTTCTGGTGTAAATTACTTGAGCTCTGTGCTTTGAAACCAGTTTGATAAGTCCTTTACTAAGGAGCTCCTGAAGGACTGCCCTGGCCATAGAGCCTCAAATCTTCAGTCTCTCAGAGACCACAGCTGGGGTTATAAGTTTATAGTTGGGAACTTCCTTAGAGAGTTTGTCATAGGTAGCTGTGTCAAACAAGACTAAGTTATTGAGCTTGTCCCGAACTTTGCCTTTGGACCACTTCTTCTTTTTGGCCTTGCCCCCGGATTTGTTCACCGGGTCTTTGTCTTTCTTGACTGACTTTCCGGCATCCTTGTTCTTTTTGTCATCCTTGGGTGGCATTGTGAAGCTCGGAGAGCAGCAGCAGACACTGCAGCCTCACTAAGATGTTGGACGGATCTCTTCCTTTATCAAATGTTGGTTCCAGTTCAAGCCTGAACCAGAATTCTGTAAGCCATTCCTGGTTCTCATCTGTTTTTAATTTCCCAGTTCCAATGAATTACTAGGTTCTGCTGACTTTATTTCCTCAATATGTCTTGAATCCATCCCTCTTCTCCACCTCTGCCACCACTGTTGAGGTTATGGACTTTGCTGTCTCTTGCCTCTTGGTCTACAACCCAATCAGTCCTCTCGCCTATAGACTTGTTTGCCTCACATCCACCCTTCCTTCAAATGGCTACTCTAATAATCTCCCTAAAGTGTGATCTGATATCTAAGTCTCAACTAAAGGTCTTGGCCCTTGCCTATCCTCCTGCTTCATTTTTGGAAGGCAGGAATTAGTGTTCACATCATCATGAAAGTATTTTGTACAATATCTTTTATTCTGCAATATTTGAAGGAGAATTTTTTTTTTCTTTTCTTTTTCCCTTTTTTTTTTTTTTTTTTTTTTTTTTTTTTTGAGACGGGGTCTTACTCTGTTGGCTCAAACTCCTGGGCTCAAGCGATCCTCTCACCTCTGCTTCCCAAAGGCTGGGATTACAGGTGTGAACCACCACACCCAGCCCAGGAGGAGAATTTTCTTGACAAAATGTTTCTCTGCTACCAAGTACCATGCTGTTGACGCCTGCCCAGGACTTTATCTTGCTCTAGCAATACCAAACTCTTTGTAATTCTTATACACATCCCACTTTCACTTGCTTGTCTTTGTTCATAATATCCTCCCTGCTGGGTGTGATTCTCCACCTGCCTGCCCCTTATTATTTGGACATCTTACTCCAAGATGCCTTTCCTGTTTCTTCTGGCCGGGTTAAGCAGCTTTCTTCGGAGCTTACATAATAATCTGCTCACGTATGTATTTGTCTCTCCCCTAGAGAGTGAGCTGTTTAAGGGCAAGGACTTCATTTCACTTATATCCTAAGCACTTAGCAATTGCTCACTAAATGTAGAATGAATGATCATCTGGTTATTATATTTATTTTTCTACAGACTGAGAAAAAAGGAAACACAATTATCATTTAGCTTTGTCAGAAGATTACATAGAGTATCAAATCTATTATATGTTAAAATCACAGGTAAAACTCAAATATAGTCTAACATACCTTAACACATTTATTCATTCGCATACGAGGTAAGAGCAAACACATTAATCATGAACCACCTGTTAGTGAATATTAAGTATAGGTCTATTTAGAAATAAATTATATCAAAAGCCTGATATAAGGCTTACTGTTCTGTATGTTAAGATCATTATTTCATCATAAAAAGACAATATTGGTCATTCTATTCAATATATGATCACTTATGGATTTAAATATATAACCCCTAAACATTTACTACACTGTAATAAGCTCTTCAATTATAAAATACCAATTAAGTCCTATTTTTCTTTTCAATTAAAAATAAAAAGGGCCAAGGACAGTGGCTCATGCCTGTAATCCCAGCACTTTGGGAGACAATGTGGGCAGATCACTTGAGGTCAGGAGTTCGAGACCAGCCTGGCCAACATGGTGAAACCCATCTCTACCAACAAATACAAAAATTTGCCAGGCTTGGTGACTAGTGCCTGTAGTCCCAGCTACTTGGAAGGTTGAGGTAGAATCGCTTGAATCTGGGAGGTGGAGATTGCAGTGGAGTGGACATCATGCCACTGCACTGCAGCCTGGGTGATAGAGTGAGACTCTGTCTGAAAAGAAAAAAAAAAAAAAAAAAAAGCCAGACAAAGCCAGGCATAATGTTGTATACCTGTAGACCAGGGATGTCCAATCTTTTGGCTTCCCTGGGCCACATTGGAAGAGAAAGAATTGTCTTGAGCAACACACAAAATACACTAACACTAAATGATAGCTGATGAACCAAAAAAAAAAAAAAAAAAAAAATCACATTTTAAAAAAAATTAAAATTTTTTTGAGACAGAGTCTCCCACTTGTCGCCTAGGCTGGAGTGCAGTGGCACGATCTCGGCTCACTGCAAGCTCCATCTCCTGGGTTCACGCCACTCTCCTGCCTCAGATTCCCGAGTAGCTGGGACTACAGGCACCCACCACCACGCCCAGCTAATTTTTTGTATTTTTAGTAGAGATGGGGTTTCACTGTGTTAGCCAGGCTGGTCTTGATCTCCTGACTGTGATCCGCCCTCCTTGGCCTCCCAAAGTGCTTGGGATTACAGGCGTGAGCCACCATTCCTGGTCAAAAAATCACATAACGTTTTAAGAAAATTTACGAATTTGTGTTGGGCTGACTTCAAAGCTATCGTGGGCCACATGCTGGTTGGACAAGCTTGCTGTAGACTCAGCTACTCAGGAATCGGAGGCAGCAGGATCACTTGAACCTAGGAGTTAAGACTGAAGCTATGATCAGGCTGGGCAACACAGAGAGACCTTGTCTCTCAAAAAAATAAAAATAAAAATAAAAAAGGACATTTTCATATAATTAAATTTAAATTTCAAAGGCTGTATATAATTTTATGTACCAGGAAACCAATTAGCTACCATTTAATTTCTTTTACCTTAGAAAATGAATACATATACTCACATCTGTATACTTACCATCTAATACAATTCCAGCAATTTCTCTCCCAACAGGAAATAAATCCTTTTTCATCTTCATTTCTGCCAGAAGCTAAATCATGACAAAGGCTGTTAACATACTATTGTCAGAAGAAATCCTGGACTCTGTTATGTGTGAGGAACGCAAGAGCAAAAGTCAAATCACAGAAAGAGCAAATATGGTTCAAGTTTTGGAATTAAGACAAAGCAAATAACTTCACAAAATAGGTTTCTCTAAAGGGTAGGAAACGAAGAATTTACTGAGGCATTAGTTGATCTGCAGGACTTAGGAATGAATATCATTATTCAAATTACCATTAACATCCTTTGTTTAACATCTTTACTCTGACAAGTATGAAGGGAAATTATGGCCAAAACATTTCTTGGTTGTCTAAACACTATCAGTCAACTTATTCAGGTGAAGGGAGGGTAGTCTGGAGAGAAGACTGTTTAATAAGGGGGTGTGGCCAATGAGAACAAAGGGTTCTCCATTCCTATACCCTTTAAAATCACCTGAGTTGTTAAAAGCCTTGGGTTAGGGAGTGGGTGAGAAGTAGTGATGGATATTAACAGGTAATCTCCCATATAATTTCAGATTCATGGCGACTGGAGTTTCTTTTCGTTAAGGCTAAATTTTTAAGAGATTGGTATTTTATTAGACTGTGACCAAATTAATTATAAGTACTTGTCTTTTTAAGTAACAGGGTGTACTAAGATAAGCCTGTGGTTTAAGCTCCTGGCACTTAACATTAGAGATGCTGAACGTATCTGTAGATAATATTTTAGGAACAGTATGTAAAAAGAAATTGAAATAATTCTCTTCTATATTTATTTTTCAATTTTCTGATCTCCTGTATGTATACCTGATTGTCAGAAGTCTCTTATTCAATATGGAACACTATACTTTTCTTAAGATGTTCATATGACATTCTTACAGAAGTACTGGGTGTTTTACAGTATTTCTTTTCTTTTTTTTTTTTTCAAATGGAGTCTCGCTCTGTCACCCAGGCTGGAGTGCAGTGGTATGATTTCAGCTCACTGCAACCTCTGCCTCCCAGGTTCAAGCAATTTTCCTGCCTCAGCCTCCAGAGTAGCTGGGACTACAGGCACACGCCACCATGCCCAGCTAATTTTTGTAATTTTAGTAGAGACGAGGTGTCACCATGTTGGCCAGGATGGTCTCGATCTCTCGACTTTGTGATCCGCCTGCCTCGGCCTCCCAAAGTGCTGGGATTACAGGTGTGAGCCACCGTGCCTGGCCACAGTATTTCTTTTATGCACATTTGTATGGAGTTAAAACCATGGTTTTAGCAATGACATCCTGGCTCCTTCACTTACCATAAGCATTTTCTTACATTACCCACACAGTTTTCATAACCATTATGCTTAACAGATGTGCAATATTTCATTCAACTGATTTTACCATAATTTACTATTTATTTCTGTTAGACAAGGAGATTATTTCCTAGGCTTGGATTTTAATGGATTTTTCAGTTTTAAAAAAAACATCTGAAGACAGAAATCTGCAGACAAGATGAAAAGACTTCAGGGGATCCCACTAATGCATTTGTCAAGTCATGCTCATGTTACAGAGTTGCCCAATGAAAGCCTATACCTGGTCTGTAATTTCCTAAGTGTGACTTTATCAAAGAAGACTTTTAGATTCCTAAAAATTATAGTCACATTATAATCCAATAAGTCATGGGTCATGTAAACTATGGCATTAATCCTAAAAAACAAAACAAACAAAAAAACGGAGTAAATGGACCTGCTCAATTTATCATGGCACATTTAACCACAGTTTATTTACCACTGAAAACGTTCTATATATTTCATGGTCAATAATGAAAGATTACTGCAGGGCAGTGTGAGGTAGAGATGTATGTTTATGAGAGAGCAATGCAAAAAGAAATGACAAGAGAAAGATGAACCATAACTAATGATATTAATTAAATATCTAATTGGTAGCTAATAAACTGATTAGGTTTCTAGTTTCTATTTTATTATTTATTTCTTCCTTAATAATAGGCTTTGTTAATTATAAACTGTTTTCTGCAATGTAAAGGAGTTTATAAAATATTATAAAATATTTACATTAAATATTTCTATTTTCTTATAAAATATTTGTATTTTCATATAAAATATGTAACTTCAATCAGACTAATAATGTCCCTTATACAGAAATATACAAAAGCACACTAAATTTTTTCCCCTAGCTGTTCTATTCTTCTAAAGATGGTAGGCCGGGCGCAGTGGCTCATGCCTGGAATCCCAGCACTTTGGGAGGCCAAGGCAGGTGGATCACCAGAGGTCTGGAGTTTGAGACCAGCCTGGCCAACACGGCAAAACCCATTTTTACTAAAAACCATAAAAAAATTAGCTGGGTGTAGTGGTGCACCCCTGTAATCCTAGGTACTCAGAAGGCTGAGACAGGAGAATTGCTTGAACCCAGGAGGCAGAGGTTGCAGTGAGCTGAGATTGCACCACTACACTCCAGCCTGGGCAATAAGAGTGAAACTCCGTCTCAAATAAAAAAGTTAATAAAAGTCAAGATGATAATAAGTTCTTCACATTGAGATGTCAGTTATCATTATATTTATACACTAAATACACTAAGAAACTCTCATTTTACTTTGCGCCATAATAAAAGAACCAATACCTTTGTATTTATCTGGCTGAGAGCACAAGCTTTAACTTGAAGTTTCACAAAGTTATCCTCTGTAACAGGAAGATTTTCCTAGAACCAAAGGATAATAAAAGAATATGTTATTCACACATTCCTATGAGAACATCTTTATGCTGTGAAAATTTTCACACATAATTAAACAAAATTAATCAGACCCCAAATCTCACAGCTAATTTTTTTTTTTTTTTTTTTTT